GAAGGAAACTGATGGAAATGATATTTGCATGTTACAAAGTCACTGTTCACAGATCTTGGTACATAGAGTGAAGCTGCGATCACTGCGAGTGCCCAGAAAACAAGGATTTTGCTTCCATATGATTTGATGATGAAAGTGAATTTGGCATCACACTATTCCCTTACTAAGTGTCCTTTAACCCTCCGCAGTCTGCTCTGGAAGTGACAGTCCTGTCCCCAAACTTCTGTGACCACTGACCTACCTAATAAGTGATCCCCGGCACCTACCGAGTGCCGGGCGTGTTTGTCAGACGTCGCCATGGCTGTACTCAGGGGTCATGTATGTAAGAGTGAACTTCATCTCCTTTTATAATATGAAGAATAAGGAAACATCTCCTATTACATCATATTATTGAAACTCGCTCCCAGTCTGAGTATTGAATTCTGGAGGAACTTTACAATAGTTGTCAGTGTTGTGCTCGGTGTGAACTTTGAATGTCAGTTCATCGTTGTGTCTTCTTCTAGAAGTCATTTGTGACATTGCTCAGGAAATAGTCTACAAGTCGGTCAGGTTCTAACCGCTCCTTGTGCACTTTGGCCATCTGAAGGCACCAGTACAGTGATACAGACCGGGTCAGATGAACCTGGAATGTTATCTTGTCCTTCTGTCTGGGGGTGCCAGGCTGTGTGTAGGTCCCTCTGTGCTGGGATGCCAGGCTACGTGCAGGTCCTTCTGTCTGGGGGTGCCAGGCTGTGTGTAGGTCCCTCTGTGCTGGGATGCCAGGCTACGTGCAGGTCCCTCTGTGCTGGGGGTGCCAGGCTACGTGCAGGTCCCTCTGTGCTGGGATGCCAGGCTACGTGCAGGTCCCTCTGTGCTGGGACACCAGGCTACATGCAGGTCCCTCTGTCTGGGGGTGCCAGTCTGTGTGCAGGTCCCTCTGTGCTGGGGGTGCCAGGCTATGTGTAGGTCCCTGTGTGCTGGGATGCCAGGCTACATGCAGGTGCCTGTGTGCTGGGGTGCCAGGCTATGTACATCACTCCTTGTGAATTTTTGCCATCTCAACACACCCATTAAGGTCATACAGACAGCTTCAGCTGGACCAGGAATGTCAACCTGTCCCTCTGTGGCCAATAATGGTCTCCAAATTGTGGGAATATTTCAGAGGCAATGGGAGGAATTTCTTGCAATCCTCTATGGTAGACCCAACTTAATTTGTAGGTAGCTCATTAGCTTATGGTCAGGCAGGTCAATGATGCACAGTCTCCAGTAGGAGATACTGGGAGCAACTCGAGGACAGAAAACAGAAGAGCACCAAACCAAAACAGATACCAGAGAACATAAAAAAGTGTAAGAATTGTGTTGACCAAATGGCTAGCGCATTTCAGGGGCAGACACAACCCCCCCTCCCCTGTAGCCCCAAGGAAGGGGTTTGTGTCTGCCCCCTGAAATGCGTTGGCTGTGTGCTCAACACACTTGGTAATGGTCTCCAGGCTTAGTTTGGGGGAATGTTACTAATTTGAAATCAAATTGTCGGAAGGAGTTTCAGATAAAAATCCATTAATGGGGGGTATTTATTGGCAAGAGCTACTGATCAGAATGTGGTGTGAGATCCTGAAATGGGTGGCCGTCAGTTAATTAGGTGATATTTGCCATTTTAAAAAAAAATATACAAATCTTCTCACTTTAAAGAGATCTTCTCCTACTTCCTGTTGTGTCCATGGGACAGGAAGTGAAGGATAATCTGACGGGAGTTTTTTTTTTATCACAAGTGTATGCAGTTGCGTCTGTATAGCCTGTATGAAGCAATGACAGGCTGACAGGAGCCTCAGCTGTCCACATGTATTCACACAGCGCTTACCGGGTCTGTCTGCATCCAGGATTGGTCATCTCTTCCTAGCTGCAGGTTAATGCTTGATGTGCAGATACATGTGAACAGCCGTGGACACCTGCGGCTCCTGTCAGCCTGTCATTGCTTTGTACAGACTGAGCCACCGTAGCTGTTTGCATACACCTTTGATTCCAGCCACAGCAATCCGCTATTCGGACATGTGAATGAGACTTAAACCCTCTGTCAGATTTCTTCTTCCTGTCCCAGAGACACAGCAGGAAGTGGAGAAGATCTCTTATAAGTGAGGGGATGTCCCCACCTAATCCTCACATCGGGTTTCCCCATTGGCAGATTTCCCTTCACCTTCTGTTCATGGAACAACACAAACATTTTGAATTCTCGTCTTTCTGGAGACAACAGTCCCTAGGGCCAGCAGTGAGACTGGATGCAACCAGCCGCAGGCTAAAACGTTCATTATTTGGATATTTTCACACCAAAGCATTCCATTCAATGTGTGGACATGAGCATTATAAGCCCCAGTCACACCTCAGTGTGTTGTTGCACATTCTCTGAAGCATGGCAATGCTCAACACAGACTCCAGTTCTTTCCAGTGGTGGCGGTTCACGCCAAGGCCTTGTATTGCTTGTACTTGTAACAGTACATGACCTTATTTTCGGGTAGGATCTCATGTTTTTGTAGATTTCAATGGGAGAGCCTGAAGAACACATGAAACCCCTGCAATGTGCCGAACGACCGTCTGCTCTTCCTCTTAGTGACTACTGTAGCTTTGCGTTGGCTAAAACTCTCAAGCCTGAAACATTTATAAAAATTGCCCCGAAACGCCCGCACCAAGTGATATTAAAGGAATAAGGATTTTAAAAGAGAACTATGGGGTAGGTGTTTTTCCCCATAGTTCTCCTCAGGGTCACGGGAGGACATATACTAACCTCCTCCCGTGCCTCAAAGCTTAGTATATCGCTAGGACAGCGGGTCCCAACCTTACTGTCGAGATCCACCCAGCTGTGTGATTGACAGCAGGCTCTGCCTATCTAGAGGCAAAGCCAGCTGTACCCGCCCCCTCCTCCGTCTGTTCCTCCAGTCAGCGCTGGGGGAGGGGGGAATCCCTGAAGGGAGCCGTGACTAAAAGTCACGGCCAGGGGCGGACTGACCATGCATGGGGCCCCCGGGCAATATGAGATTATGGGGCCCCCTTGTGCTCCGCCCATATACAATGTATACATTCTTGTGTTACAGAAATTATTTTTCCTCACTATTTTGAAAATAGCAGGTTTATTCACTAAAAGGTGGATTGGAGCAGAATTTATCAAATCTAGAATATAAACGATTTGGAAAGCAAGCTAAATGGCAGAATTGTTTTGATTTGGCTATTTTGATCTCGATTCTTCAATTCTGCCGGTTATCTTGGGTGAATTGCAGGAGAATTAGTAGGAGAATTGATAGGGGAACTGAATAATCTAGGACTGGAGCAGGGGTTTGGGCGCATATTGCACGTGAGGTTTGCAAACCTCTGTTCCCCAGCTCCAGTCCCAGTGTGTGCGGTAAGGTTACCCCATACTTCTCTTTTTAATTTAAAGCCATATTTAAGCACTTATGTTATCTATGGCCAAATAATACATAAAAAAAGTATAAGCAAGTATCAGGATTCGATTTTCTAAAATCTTCGCCTAGTACAACCTTAGCTCTGTTTAGAAAAAATAGACTTTTACTTTACCTTCTACAATATTTGTTAAGAGGGAGGCAAAACAATATGGTGTACGCCTGTGGTTCTCAACTGATGGTTTGTGACCCAAAAGTGGGTTGCGACCCCATGTTCAAATGGGTCGTCGCATGCCTTCCAGTGCACCAGGTGGCAGGCTCCTTTGCCTCCCCCATAGCGCAGCACTGTCAGTTCTTGTGCCAAGCTGCCATTCAAAATCAGCTGCCTGGTGCCAAGGGTCAGCTTGAGGTGGGGTTGCCTAGGGGTATGGCTGCAAGGGAGCTTCATCCATACATGCATT